AGGGATGAAGTACTCCAAATATGGACAGCAGGTCACTTATCTCTACATATTGATGTAACAATCCGAAATCCACAAGGGGAGAGGTGATAATACTCTCTGGGGGGTGATAATCCCCCAAAGTTGTGAGTGGAGGTGATAATCCCCGTTGGGTACTGGAGAGGTGGAAAGACCTCTCTAGATGTCTTATTCCCCGGTTTAAGGAGTAACAAGAGTCTATGGGGCAAAGGGTGACCTGTATGGAAGCACTTCATCCCCACCAAATACCCCAAAGGGGACGAGCAACAGGAATTGTATGGCTATTTCCAGAGTCAAATGTCACTTGAAACAATGATCACATGGTACTTGAAACATTGCATATAAAATTAGAATGAGCAAATGTCCCATCCAGTAGGTATCAGCTGAGGATTCAACCAGGAACAGCAACAAGCTTGTTAGTAGCCTAAGACCTCCTCCACAGGAGATGGGAGACAGATGAGGAGATATGCAATAACAAGAACAAAACAAAGGATCAGTCTGTAAATTAAGCACAACCAATGGACTAACAGTTATACATAATTTACACAAACTGGATGCAACTGGTGTATCTATCAAGTGGGCCAGATACTAAGATGTGATAACCCAATGCTTATTGAGAAAATTTTCAACATCCTTATCGATAAATCAGAATGCATATGCTCATGATTGCTGCTTGTAAGCTACTAAAAATAACTGCATTATTTATGGTTTCAACCCAGTTATTGAAACAGTGACAACAATATATACGTTGCATAAGGCAAGGAGTTGGGAACGAACTTTATGCAACATCATGCATACTCTTAGGGCTTCAATCACACCCAGAAAAAAAGTCTTCACTCCTTTCCAGGCTTAACAATCCCCTGGAAAAGGTCCTTGGTAGATTCAGAGGAGTTGCAATCCGAAAAACAGTCTTTCCTTTGCTTCATTACAAGTCCAGCGGAGTTGCAATCCTCCAAATGTGGGAATCCTTTAAAACTTACATCATTTCTTACCTTAAAGACACTCTCAAAAAAAAATAAATCACTCACTTTATACAGTGAAACCTCGATTTAACGAAGTTGCTTGGGACCGACCAAATTTGTTTGTTAAATCGAGGGTTTGTTAAATCGAAAACCTCCATATAACGAATTTGAGGGGAAATGACCAAAAAGTTCGCTATATCGAGGTCATAGTTAATGATTGATTTGTAACACAGGTGACTTCTGTCACACAATTCAATGCAATTTTCGTCACCCCGAAGTGCCGCGTTTTGAGATGCAATTCATTTGAGAATTTGGCGTTACAGTGTTAATGAATGAATTGATCTCATACGTGTGTGTATTTTTACGCAGTACGAGCCTGATAACCCACACGACACCCATGCTGTTGCCGTTAAACAGGTTCAAGATCAAGGAGGCATGCCGCAGATCGTAGGTCATGTGCCATTGACACTGTCACGTGTATTTCACTTGTTTTTAAAACATGGAGGACAAATCTCTGTGGAAGTGACTGGTAAACGGAGAAACAAGGGCATTGGACTTGAAATTCCAACTACATATTCGTTTTATCAAAAGAAGCCTTCGAAAGTGAAGACATTAAGAGAACTAATAAGAGACAAAGAAGATAAAGTAGAGGTTAATTGATGTCGAAATACTATCGCACCAATGTCTGTGACATAATAAGCCTTTGTCTGAAAGGTTGCTGTCTCTTTACCATAAGGATTAAAGGATTTGTTGACTGTTGATCTGTTCAGCATTTATCTTCTGTCGCATGTTGACATTGTAATTCGTTATATTGAGGTAGATTTTACGTTTGGGCTTCCGGATTATGTTCGCTATGTTGAAGAATTCGTTATATCGAGGTTCGTTATATCTAGGTCCTATTCCATGCATTTTACTATAACTTTGGCTGGGACATAGGATATCATTCGTTATATCGAGGACTTCGTTAAATAGAGGTTCGTTAAATCAAGGTTCCACTGTACCTCCATCTTTAGCATGATTTTGAGTTGCGGAAATACAATGCACACCCAAACGGAGGAACTGAAGTCCAGACAGCACAACATAAATGCTTACATTGCATATTCTTAGCCATAATGGCAAACGAAGTGCACCCTACTATAAACTTCAAGATATACTCGACATAGACAACATGTTAAGACTTAAGATCTCAGCAATCTCACACAATGAACCATAATCCCTGAAATGTTTTTAAGGTACCTCGTAAAGGTGTCTGATATGAACTCCGCCAAAGACCAAAGACCAAATTGTTTGAAAATTAAAATTCTCCCATTAATTTTGGCAAGTGATGACGCTGAAATTTGTGAGATTGCTGCAGCAGAAGGAAAGAATACATTCCATGTTAATATCCTTCCTAACAACGGCAAACTTTAGCTGCATGAGCAGTCAACAAGTTGACTGTGAGGGGTGGGGTTCTTCACTATGATGGAAAACCAGTTTCTTCAACATGTTTAGAGCAGGCCTATTAGATCTTCTGCAGTGGCTCGAAGCAAGACAACTGTGTTTACTCATGGCACATAATGCAAAAGCTTTTGATGCTGTTGTGTTCTGCAAAAGGGACAGTCTCCAGATTTTAGATCAGCAGATGATGGCATCACTGTAATAAGAACTTTGAGCAGTTGCATTAATGAAGTAAGTGTCAAAAACAAAATGAAAACTTTTACCACTTGGTCACACACTTGGGGGCTGGGCTGGGCCCAATTATGTTTTGGCTTATCTTGCCAGATAGCTAAAGTGACTTATTTCATTAACAAAGCCATGCAGTATTATATAACAGGCAAAATATCTCGGAAATTATAATTAGTGTCATATTGCAGTGTCAGATTCAGTATTGCTTGTTCTTTTTATTGTACCAAAGTAACATTAATTTGGTTGGTATGGCAACCATTTTTTATAATTTTGTCTTTAATCAGGGGCCCAGATAAAGCATCCCTTTAACCCGTCACTTACCAACCAAAGAGTAGATCTATAGGAATAAGAGCAGTTGAATGTACGATGTTTTTTTCCTGGAAAGAGAAATGGGCCTGCCTGCCTGAAAACAGAACATGATGGCATAGCTTCTAAATGAAAACCAGCACCCTCCCTTTTTTTGCTTGTTTGAGTCTACAAACAATAGGCTGCCTGCACAAAAAGAATGTTCAATTTTCTATGTTCAGAAAAACAGATATAAAAGGAAAGAGTAAAGCCAAGACTCATTTTTTCATTTAAATGTTGGTAACCATGGTGACGAAGTTAGGGTAGTGCTTCCTCAACGCATGCATTTTCGTATCAAAAGCCTCTTGAAACTGTTACTCTTGTACAACTAAATGAGTGTAATCTTATTTTGCACAGTCAATAGAAAACTACAAGAGTTCGTTTTATTCAGCAAGAGCAATTGCCAATGTGTTTGACGAATTTGTATTGGGCAAAGAAACAGAGATGGAAAGTCCTTCTACAATAGTGACCACGCTCTCAGTTGATGTTAAGGACTACGATATTCTTGGAGTGGCCACCTCTTCAGGGCAAAGAGCTAAAGAGAGCTCAACCACAACTCATGGAAGCCAACCTGGCAGGGAGCCTTTTCATGACAACCCATTTGGGAATGAGCATACTCAGGAAAAACTAGTAATGATATTAAAGCCTCCCGCTAAAAGAAAATTATCTGCATCTACAAATGTAAGTCCTCCGGTTCCACTAAGCCACTTCCTCAAACACCACAGCACTGAGACTCAATGTCCTCCGACCATCTGTTTTTACATGAGGTTATAAAGTTTGCAGTACCAGTTAAGTTCAGTTCCTAACGTGAGTTAATGGGAAGCAGAAACAGAAAACTTCGAAACACAATACAGCAAAATATTTTCTTTTATCGTGAATGGATTCCTGTAGCCAGTTTATGATATTGTAAGCTGAATGAAAAATAAGAGAAAAAAAGAGCCCGAGGGCCTTCTGATCTGTAGAAAAAAAAAGTTCTTCATCCTGATTTACAGAGTGAAAGACTTGTACTGTGTCAATTAAGTAATACAAATATCAACTGCTATTGCAGCATAACTAGAGCACAGAAAACAAAACCAGAGAAAACTTCAAAAGAATGAATGTTACATTTGCTACCAACCTGCTAACAGAGGTAACTCATCAATTATTTTCCGGGTTACATAAGGTCCTGGCAACGTCCCTGGTTTCCCCATGCCCGAGTACAGATTGTAAGAACTAGATATGTTGCATTTGGAAGTTCTAAAACCGGGGCTTCTATCTCCCTCAGCGACATGCGGCAAACCCGTGACTGTCATTGCGAAAGATCTTCAAGATCCTAGACAGTTTAATGAAGAGCTAGACAGCTGTCAGCTCGAAGTGATTGGAACCACAAAAGGGAGGCCATTTTTCATATTTTGAGGGATGACACAGTTTCCTCCAAAGAATGCTTTAAGTTTGTTTGCGTGCAGATCTGTTCAGGTGAGACTTCCAACTGCTCCCATCAGTACCTAATCACCATTATCATCTTCATCGATGTAATATTTTCATAACAGCTTAGGCTAAGCACAACACTTAGGAGAAGTAGCAATACATACGGCCAGATACCAAGTACGTCTCAGAACATGTTCGCTGATTGGCCAATTTCCTTTACTAGGTTGTGAGGGTTGTACACTTTCTCGTTGGCCAGTTGTCTACACGTAATACTTTGCTAATACCCTCAGTTTTCTTTTTCTTTATCGTGGTATATAGTGTAAGATCGCCATAGGTTATCTTTGTATTTTTTCTAGTAAAGGGGATTTTTCAGAAGGACCTGTTTTCCTACATTGTTCCGTTAACTGAAGTTATTACCCGTTTGGTAAGTTTTTTTCAAATCAATTGTCACATTTGTAATGGCATTTTTTTTCGAGGGGGGAGGTTAAGAAGGATCTACCTTTTTTCTTTATTAACATTTCTTTCCTCTTGATGTAGATTGATTGTTACCAGTTTTCCTACCTTGTTTCTACATTTGTTTGTTACCTGAAGTTATCAGCAGTTTGGTCAGTTCTTTTCAAATCTATTGTTTAAGCAGAATGCCCATACTTTGACCAGAATGGCATACGCTAGCATGTTGGCTAATGTAACCTTGATTTCCACCGTTCCCTTAAGTCTGGTCTTTGAGCCTACACCATCATCAACATTGGGGGATGCATCAAGTTCAGGTATTCCACGTACTACTTTAGCATTCTCTAACTTACAAAGGCTCTCTGTTCTCTGTTTGTACAGTGAAATGAATGAGTGTGTAAGTTGATACAATGTTATTACTTAATTTAACATGTACAACTTTGAGGAACGTACGGCCTATGTTGATTCATTGGCAAAGAATTTACAAATTCCCTATCTTTTCTCTACACTTTGACTTAAGAGTGTTCATTATGGAACTCGCCACATTTCGTATGCCAGTAACGTAACGTTTTTTCTGGAAAAAATGAACTTGGTACGCTTACTAAGAAGCCGATTTATAACCTTAGCATCTAGCGCAACATTTAATATTTAAATTTCCGTGTTCAAGCGCATAAAGCAACACAGCTTAAAAAATGCAAACTGGTTTTTAAAAACATTTTTTCCATTTTCTTTCACTAGCAGGTAGAGGTACCAAGAGGAAGCTTGCATTTCAAAGATGAAGCACTCTTTGTAACCTTTGCAAGTCGACAAAGCAAACAGGGATGGTAAAATGCAACAACTGCACTCAATAGCAGCACACTAAATGCATTGGTATGCGGATGATTGACTATGATAGCACGTTACAGTGCTTATCATGTGGGGAGGAGCGGTGAATGTAAGTTTTAGGAAGCTTGAGCAACTACAACGACGACACCAGTGAAAACGTGATGTTAAAGGAGTACTTATCCATGTCTCTACCCACTTTACTATGGCTTAAAACTTGAGGTGCAACCTGACATTGGTAGTCAAAGTTCTTCACCAACAAGTATGTGTTGTATGTTGATCTTGCAATACGTTGGGCACTTGTTGGATTTAGATTTTTTCCCATTCCATCCAGTTTGTCTTTCACACTGCACACTTCACTTCCTCGTCGTCAGTCACATTCCATGTTGTTTGCTCCTCCCCTTAAATTGACAAACCGTCCCCACTTTAGCTTCATGGCAAGTTGTGGAGACAACACTGCCTTAGTTAGGGCTAGATACTTGAACGACTAAAAGGCATACTTCACTCTGTTGGTTTGGTTGTTTATTCCTGATTTGAAAATAAGCATGGCTATCTTCCAAAACTCCCCCCCCCCTCCTTGAACATTAGAATTGAATAAATTTAAGTCATGAGTTCAACCCACTATGGTATCAGTTTTTCATAACTTTAACTTTATTTGATTTGCCACAAAATACAAATAACGATAAAACAAAACAGTTACACAAAAGTAAATGAAAGTGGTGAGGAAGCCCAAAAAGAAACCATGAGGCTTATAGACATTGGGCTCCCTCAGAGTAAAAATAAAGTTAATAGTAACAGTAAGGCCAGGATCGAAAGTAAAACACAATGAAGGTAAGTATACGCGACATAGTGCATAACATGTCTGCTGTGATTGGTTTATTTAGGGCATGCGCAAACAGTTCACCCTGGACCCTCTCTCCCGGAGAGAGAGGGGCCAGAACTGGACTAAAATGTAACATACCCTGAACTACGGAAAATCCCTCTGAATATTTAACGTGATTTGGATGAAATCAAGCCATGGGTTCAACCCAGTATGTTATCTGGAATTGCATCTTAGGTCATTGTGATCATTATCCTACCCTTGGCAATGTAAAATGGCTCCGATGTTCGAGTTCCAGGAGGAATTTAAGACAGCTTTGAAAGTCATTTTCTCTTGAGAAAAGACAAACTAACCAATTCATCAATCCTGAAAATGATAATTAAATTAAGCCATGGGTTTAGCCTTTAAAATGGATATAATTTACTTTTAACCTACTCCTAACAATATGAAATGAAGTTTTTGTTCTGTGATGAGCTTTGAATGAAAATCTTTTTACGTGGACAATATATTAGTTAAACTTACCACTAACAATATAAAGTGCTCCTTTTTTTTGTGTTGTGTTTTGAAGTAAATAAAACCATAGGTTCAACCCAGTATGGTAACTGGAATTGCGTCTTATGACATTTTTATTAGCTACGTGATACTAATGGAAAGCACGTTCTCTTTTGGCCATGGGTTTAGCGTTTTACATGGAAATAATCTAAGTTTTCCCTTCCCCTAAGAATATAAAAGGTCTTGTTTCTTCTGTAAGGGTGCTTGAAATTAAATTAAACATTGGGTTCATCAAATTATGGCAACTGAGGTTGCGTCTTATCTTGTCGTCATTAGGGTAGAAAAACAACTGCTAAATTTTACTCATTATATATGGTCTGAGACTTAGTCAGAAATAAAACTGTCATCATGAGGACATTATTTTTCACTTTAAAAGCAGGACAGAATACATACTCGTAGCCCTCAAAAATAAAGAATAATTGTTCGGGTAACTTATTCTATGATACGATTGTTATTAACCATTATGGATTTTAAACTTGATGACAGATTTGATGGCATTGTATTCTGATTGACAGAGCTTTCGTCAGGCAGACTAGTTTCTCCATGACAAGTAGTCTACATGCTTCTCAGCAAATGTTCCCCCCGTCATCCTTGTCTTGGTCGAAAACTGGCCCTCTTGCTTATCTCCTGCAGTAACAGATTATGAAGACTGTCAGATTCCATAGCACTCGAGACTGTCTTCTGCTTCTTGCAATGGTTGCCGAAGGCCGCTACCATATCTGGTGGCAAATTTCTCACTGGTTCCCATGTGTTGTCTTGTTCTCCCCAGTCTTTCCAGGAAACGAGCATTTCTACTCAGCCTTTTTTCCTCCTTTTCTTCAAGATCTCTTTGACATAGTACGTTCCAAGTAAAAAAAAACATTACTGAACTCATTCAGGGCGAGAGATGGGTGTCTTTGGATTGTAATTCCCTTGATTGCCTTTAACAAGTTATGTTCAAGAGAGTGGCAGGGCAGGTAGAGACAATCAATCATCCAAGGCCATTCTATTTTACTCTGCTAAAGAGTTTGGTGTGAGGAAAGCGAAAATATCCAAGGGTGCCAACCAGAATGAATTTAAACAACTTGATGCAATGAAAGCGTACTGTGAGAATACTGAGGTTTGCCCGCAATTCTGTCTGCTGAAACATTTTGATGGTCATGGAATAGCAAACAAAAGAACAAAACATAAATGTTGTGACATTTGTTTGCTACTCTGCAAATGTGACAAATATGTTGAGAGTTTGCAACAGCAGAAAGATCCTAATAACATCAACAGGCACAGTCCGAAAAAGCTTTTAATGCTCCCAATTTCTCTGTTCATAAAGAAAAGCTAAAGAAAGAACTGCAAGAGTATAAAGACTAACCGAGTCAAGATGTCTTGCTTCTGGGAAATGACCTGTCTGCTGGATTTTCAGCAGAGGTTATAGAACAGATTCTGTCAGTGTGTAACGAGGTTAATTCTGTTGAAGACATCCACGTGAGAGAAGATATGTGGGATTTTGAGTTTATTGTTATTTGGTTAGTTCTACATCACTCTTTATTCCCCCCCCCGAAGCTTTGAGTGATTATGAATGGATGGAAATAGCCTTTGCAAAGTGTTTCAAATCAACAACTGAAGACCTCAAAGAAAATGGCACTTCTGCTGAGTGAGGGATTATTTTTTGTTTCAGTCACAGAGACTGCTGTGAAGTTTATCAATATTTTGAAAGGGAGTTAGGCCAGTTCATGTTACTATAATTATACATTAATCACTTATATTGCACAGGTATTCATAAAAATGATCAAATGCGCATTACATTAGTAATATTAAAATACTACAAACCTATTTACAATAAGTAAAACAATAAGAATATATGCACTTCCGCCATAAAAATCTAAAATATCCATACGTAACAATGAAAATTCATTCAGCCATAAGCAAACTTAAAAAGGTACGTCTTAAGATTGCTCTTAAACGTCTGTAATCCAGCAATTACAAAATTCTATTCTGGAATAAAAAGCTGTAAAGATACAGTATTGTTTATATTTCAACTTCAGATGAAAAGTCAGGTTTTTCAAAGATGGCACTTGGTCATTTAGTTATCTCGATATGGCAGTGCATTTCAAAACCTCTCCCTTATTTCTATTTGTTTGCAGAGAGAAAACAATCTCCATCCGGGGGTATGTCCAAGATGAATAAGATCAGAAATTGAAAGCTTTTCTATCAAACTGGGCAAATAACGATTTAATGGTCTAAATAGTCTAGTGTTGTAGAAAAGAAGTGTGTGTACAGAGTTACAAAACTGCCACAACCTAAAACTTTATTTCAAGTGTTGTTTTAACAGGGATTTCTCGCAGTTTGCTTTTTTTACTTGCGATGAGTTGAACAAGAGGAAGCTGGTGCAGGTGTGAGGTCAACATCCATCTGTCACTGCTGGCGGTCACAGTGCCCCTTATTCATAAGACCGCAGATTGCCCTGCCGATCACAACAGGCGCTGTAAGTACACATTTGTGACATATTCAGTCTCCTTTCATGAACTTGTTATTGTTGGAATTTGTCTTTACACACAATGCATAGTGGTTTGTGCTTTCGAGGCACTCTGAGTAGTACTCATAAATGTAATTAAATGAAACATATCACTCTGAATCCTCTACTTTTCTCTTAAAGGTGACCCCACCTGCATCAGCTAGTCCAGGATTCACTTCTCCACAATTTAACTTGCAAAATCTGATACAAAGCTTGGCAAGTCAAACCACATTCACAACACCCACTGCATCACCTACAACATCCAACATCAGTACACTTACAAAACCCACTGCAACACTTACCATATCTTCCACTAACACAAGCACTACTACCACTACAACACTTCCAACACCCACCACCAGTAGTCACAAGGCCCACTAAAATACTTACTACACCATCCACCAACAATAGCAGTACTACCACTACAACCATTCTAACACCCACCACCATCACAAGCACTACTAACACTACAACACTTCCCACACCCGCCACCACCATTACTGTCTTAAAGTTTTTGTCTCATTTTTACTATATAGCTTTTTCGTAGGTTTTAGCTTTTTATATTTTCTGTTTTTATTGCTAAGTTTTGTACATTTATCGAGTTGCTTTTAAAACAGAGTAATATAATATAGTTGTCATTATTACAGATTATATTTCTACATGTTCGTATTTTGACGAAATTTTTTTAGTTCCTCAACAAAACATGTTAAAGTAACTTATTGATTGATAGATTGAACACCTGGTTGGTCGTTTTAGTCACAATTTTATTTGCCGTCTTTCAGTTACGCCATGATGTCATTGGCTAACTATACCTTCTGCTTTCACAGGCTTACACGTAGATATTTATTCTTCTTTAGCTCGTGAATACACAAAGCACAAATGAATGAGGTATAGCAGTAAGTGGGGTCCGATGTCACTCAATGGATCCATTGTGTGTTAGTTTTTTCCGAAATGGACTGGGAATGAGTTGACGCTACATATCAAGTGCTTTCCACCAAGAAAAGGGAAAACTTGTATGTAAACCCTTTTCTTGGTCAACACAGAGGTTAAAAGAAACTGCATTCGTTAGCAGAACTGTTAATCAGACCGACAGTTGATTTAGTATTTCGCGAAGAGGAAAATAATGTTTTATGAGTTTGTTAGCATAGATGGCATTCAAATAATATACATAATATCTTGTGTCGTGGCAATGGCTTTTACTTGAACACTCTGAAGAGTGGCAAAAACGCTGAGGCTCAAACCCTGGCAATCAGCAACCTTCCTTCTGTTGTTCACTGCAGCCGAGAGACCAGCTGGAATATTTCGACTTCTTATGTGGTCAATGAAACTAAGGCATCCTATCACAACTAGCCTACTTTGGCTGACAACAAACAGCCCACTTTTGCTTAAAGTATAGAAAGAATACTAGCCGAGAGACTAAACAGGAGTGCTCAGTAGAGCCGATATTCAAAAAAGCCGTTCCTCA